CAGGACTGCTGTCTAAATGCTAGCGTAAGTGAATAACAGGAGCCTTCAAAGTGAGACCATCAGAAATATCTCAACTCCCTTTAACGACCAGCAGCTCTGCTGCTCCACAGAGGGCTCGTTGTTGTGTCCCTGGCATAGCCCGGTCCCCTCACGGCTAGCTGGAGGGGGGCTGGCAGTGAGTCACTGCGCTGTCAAGAAGAGACCCATTGTTCGTGGCAGTTCGCGACGGGGTAGAGCTCCCAGCGGGGTTACAACCTCACTGTCACCAGTAGCTCGTACAAAGCAAGGTCCTTCACCGCCGTGAGGCCCGCAAGCCGTCAGCGTGGACGGCAGGGTCCACCTTCGCCTCCCCGCAGTGTCCCGATGTCCATACTGAGGTCTTCGCAGATACTTTATACAGGCACTTCCGAGCAGGTTTTCAACAGAAACCTAGAAATAAGCTATCCCGACGTATGGCGCCCCTTTTAGGGTGGCACCGCTATGCATCACGTTCGCACATACCCACCTTTTTTGTGCCACTCGAATGCCTCTGATTCACTGTGCAGCAGTAGCATGCCTTAAATATTTAACTTCTCTGTTTCTCCCCTCCTGCAGGGTCCTCCTAATCAAGGCTGAGGGCCAGAAGGTGGAATAACAAAACAGGCTGCAGGAATGCAGTCTGCTAGGAGCTCTCAAGCGTGCCTCTTGGGTTGTTTTTATCCTCACCCGAGCTGGGTCGATGAACTGGAGAAATGGTGATACTGAAAAGACGAGGAGGAGGAGGAGGTGTGCGTGTAAGGGGTGATGGTGGGGGGAGAAAAGAGAAAGAAAGAGCAGCCAATCGGACTCAGTTGGATTTGAAACGAGGAGAAGGAAGCTTATTTTCTCACCGCGCTGCCTGTTCGACACCAGCAGGGTCCCGTGGAGACGCGGAGGAGTTGGGGAGGGGGGAGATAAAACAAGAGACGGGGGCTGGTTTGTGCTCCCGTTACTCTGGCCGACCTCTGTCCTTTTTAGAAGCACTAATCCCTCCTCAAATCCTGTTCAAACCGGGGCCATAAAAAAACCTGAGATGGGGGGCCTTTCTCGGGACATGGATCCAGGGTGGCAGCGTTAAGTTCGGCCTTACTGGAGCGACTTATCCGTCCAGCCTGTGACTAAGCACGGCAGCAACCCCCAGCATTACCGACTTACTGATATTAAACAGAGACTGGCTCACTAACAGTGCTGAAAGAAGAAGCTACAGTATTTTTCTGGGGTGGAAAGGGGAAGCCCAAAGACCCCTCTCACTGAGGAGCTATGGTTCCACCCCTGGCCCCTCTCAGGAATCCGGACAGCTGCAAGAGCCTCTTTGACAAATCTCTCACGTGGGTGTGAAATTTTCTGATCAGCCGCAGAATTCCTGAAGTCCTGCTTCTGTCCTCCGACCGGTGGACCTCTTCGTTTCCTTTAATCCACAACGGTCCACAGCGTCCTCCGATCCGGTGGCGTCTCTGAGGTCAAGGAGGCGTGGTAGCACTTTATTTGAAGGGGTGTGCATAAGACTGACATAACATCTGTCATAAACATAAAGAAGTCTTTATGAATGTTTATGACAGTTGTCATGAAGTGTCATTCGGTAAATAATGACACTTTTAATGCAAAGTTCCTCTAAAAGTTGCATTAAAAGTCCATTAAAAGAGCCAACTTTGCATGATTTTGTAAATTATGATCATTTAATGCAAAGTTGGCAAATAAAGTTTTACCAGAGGGGTTCCTGGGGCTTCAACACCATCGACACGTTCAATTTCAGAAGACGGTTCTGTTAGAATTACTCTTACTTGAATACTTGTGGAAATGTGAATGAAAGAAGGACCTTCAAGCGTTTTAAATTCAATGAAAGTTTGTTATGGCTTATATTAATTCTGCTCGTCGTGGTTTCCAGATTTGTACAGTTGATTATTGACCAGTAAAAACCCTCTTTGTTACGTGAGCTGGGTTTGTCCAACATGCTTCCCTCAAATGAAAAGAACAATAGGAAAGTGGCTTCATTAACAAAACATGTGACTCGTAAATGGGACATTCTTCAATAGCAGCCAGCCACAGCTGATCATCATGTGTAATGCTTTGCAAAAGTAATCAAACGTTCTTTGTTGGGATGTTTTTTTGTTTGTTGTTTTGAGCAGACCCAACGGAAATTTGTGCATAACTGTGAGGAATTATGTTCTGTTTTTAAAAAACAAAGAAATCTACATTCAAATCAACTTTGGCCAGACTTCCTGTCCAATCATCTCCATCACATGATGCAGCCACCACCGTGTTTCACTCTGGGGATGGTGAGGGCTGGGTTAGCTTTCTGAATGTAGGGCAAAAAATGACATGTTTGTGTTTGAGCAGCAAATGGTAAACAGATTGTACTTGTATAGCACTTTATAACACTTGTACATTCAGTAGTGCTTTCACACTGCATTCAGTCATTCACCCATTCATTCATACACTGATGGTGGCAGGCTACTGGGTTGTAGCTACCGTTGCCTTGTCTGATAGACGCGAGGCTGCAATGTGCTGGCCCTAACCAGGCCGTCTGACCACCACCGGTAGGCAAGGTGGGTGAAGTGTCTCGCCCAAAGACACAGCAACCAAGACTGGCGGAGCAGGACTCGAATCTGAAATAATGATAGCTGTAAAATACAGAAAATGCTGGTTAAATATTTTTTATGGTGTAATTCTGGCGCAGCACCCCTATGTGGCGCATACCCAACCGTCTTCAACGACTTCCCAATAGCGAGTACCTTGACGTTTGTTCACTGCTGTTCTCTTAATCCTCTGCCATTGAGATGTAATCAGCCACTCTGAGTCATTACTTTATAGAAGCACCTTTCAGTGCAATTCGTCTGCAAGTCTTTTGTGGTACGTCTCTCCCAACTTCGCCCATCTAACTGACTAAAATTTTTCCATCCTCTGCAAAAAAGCCGATATTCTCAGTCAGATTTAGACAAAGAATATCTGCCAATGCAGATTTTCAAGTCTTGCCACGGATTCTTGATTTGGACGTGCCTTTTGAATACAATTTGATCTAAAAACCAATCGACTGCAGTTTTTTAAGGTCATATTCATGCAAGAAAAACAGGTTTTCTTCCAGTATTACCTTGTTTTAGCTCCAACCACCTCCACATCAATGACCAGCTTCCCCGTCTGTCCCCACTCAAGAAATGATTCTCCCTCTGCAGTGTTGCTCCCATATTATCACAGCAATCTTTTTTTTTTTTTTACAGGCTTGAATCATGTTTCGCATGAATACTTTTGCAAAGCATTGTATATGTATGTATATATTGACGTACTAGTTGATAAAGTAAGCATTAGGTGCCGGTTTAAGGCCATTTTTTAGGGCCATTACAGTCATCACTAAGAACATTTACAACAAATTTGGTTATCATTTGTTATTATGATGATATCATTATAAATTAACATTCTAGTATATGACATTTATTTATTTTTTGGAATTATAATGTCTAAACTCAAGTTGAGTTAGTGAAGAAGATCACATTTCAGCACCACTATGGTGCATTTTATTAAAGCTGCAGTGTGTAATTTATATATATATATATATATATATATATATATATATATATATATATATATATATATATATATATACTTTTTTTTTACATATTTATTGAAACTGTCACCATGTCGTGACAATATGGTATATGAGACAGATAATCTGTGAATAGATCGAGCTCCTCCACCTTCTCCCAGTGCTAACTAGGAATAACCAATCAGAACGAGGAGGCGGGCCTTAGTGCCGTCAATCAATCTCATGTGGTTTTTCTATAACAGTAAGTCCTTTCTTCGTCATTAGCAGATTTAGCAGTATTGATCAACAGCGCTAAGACCCTCCTCCTGGCTCTGATTGGTTGTTTTTGGTCGGGAACGGCTACATTTCTTCAACTAGCAGCCTTAGCTCAGCTAGGAAGCGGAGCAGATGGATCTTTTCACAGATTTTCTGTCTCCTATCATACTGACAAACAAATATGTAACAACAAAGTTACATACTGCAGCTTCAGACCCTTTCTTTAAAAGGCTTTCTGAGTTAAGTGGAGCACACCATTGGGGAACCCAGAACTTCAAGATTTTTATTAACATGTTGACATGCAGACCATGGCACACAGAACCTGTCAGCCAGCTGGAAACGACAGGTGCACATATTGACACTTTGGCTACATCTCATATTTCTCAGGTGCAGAGAGGGTTTAAATATAGCCGACAGGACAACTGACAGCACAGCAGTGCGGAGGGCAAAGAGTGCACATGAAATATTAGCAAAGAGTTCAACAAGTGTCCTCTGCTTGCCATACTGTGTGACTCTCTTGGGTTTGCTGGTCTGTTACGTACTCCCTCTTGTCTTTTGAGGGGACAACACTACATCATGTCTCAATCCATGCAAGTTCCTGTTCTATGAATTGTCTTCAAATAAAGGAGAGACCGAAAGGGACATTTTCATCACGAAGCGAAAACACCTCCGTTATTGTCTGGTTTCATTTTCTGCACACAAGTTAATTTGCAAGGTTTTCATCCCACTTTTTTTCCCAGAGTATAAGCGTTAGCTGTGTTTAGTAGCAACGAATAGGTGATTTTTTTTTTAAAGTGTACAAGTTTTCACAGTCGTGCATAATCACCAGATTGTGAAGGGCTGGGATTATTCTGCTTCACAGCACTTCTCCTTGCAGCAGCTCGGTTTAAAAGGCCTGCCCTGTGCACAGCCTGGCAACCGCTTACTCTACCAGATTCATTTCCTCCTTGACGTCTCTGGCAAGCCGTCAAACTTGCTTCGAGACCGTCCTCCGGTGTAAAAGGCCTTGTATTCAACTCCAACAGTCATGCCTTTCACACCTGCCCCCGTGTACTCATGCATAAATGCAGCAGCTACTCGGTGTTGGTGGAAAGGTGGATTTAAAGGGCTAAACGGGGCTGTGCGGTGAATACAAAAAAAAAAGGAAGCAGCTCGGTTACATGTGTAAAAGTGAAAACAAACGTCTGTCCTCAGTCTCCTCCACTGGCTATAAAGGGCCAAGAGTGCTTTAACACAAATCACTGCTCATGTTTTGTTTTAGGGTGTTTTTTTTTTTTACGTGGGGTGGGCCAGGAGTTTCATGCACCATCTTCAGAAGGAAAATGTGCAAATGGGAAGTTTTCGCCGGCAGTAAACCAGCAGAAACCTCAACTAATGCTATACTAATATACTAAGAATCTTTGAGATGACATTTCTGAGTTCTAAAAACCAGTAATTATATGCCGTTATCCTGTTTACGTCCTTTATCTCACTGAAATTGGACCAATGATGTAAGAGCGGAGGAACGAGTCGGCCACTGTTGTGCCAAATTTCATTGCAATCGAATTTTGATGCTACTAGCATCATAATTTGGTTGCATTGAGCTGAGCTCATTGTGATGACCATCGAAAACAGTTTGTGGTTCCGTTTAATTTTAATGGACATTTTTAATAAGTCAGCCTAAAAAAAAAAGAATAAATCAATATTCTTGGGGAAATCTATGTATTAGTATAGATTATAAAATTAATTATGAAATTAGAAATTGACTGTTTGACTATATACTGTCGTCAATTTGCAATTGATATATACACAAGATTTATTTTACACTTTCAACACCGCAAACCCCCTTTTCTAAGTGTGTGTACAGCTTCTCAAGCTAACATGGCTAGCTTAGCCTAAAGGGGGCGGGGGAAGGGAGACCGCTAACTGTGTTTTGTCCTGTCATAGCAATAATCCAATCTAAGTGTAAAGTGATTGGGAGTTATTTACTAGAGAGGAAATGCTACTAATGTTTACTTTGAACAATAATTTTGGCTGATGCATAATCCTCCAGAGGTCAAAATAACAGTTCAAAAATTCTCAGGATGAAACATACAGCCCATCTCTAAAGATAATAATTAAAAAATAACAATAATCGAGAATATGATTTCTAAATATTTTGTTTTACTTCAAAATATTTGTGTTTATATAGATGGAAATGTGTTCTGATTTTATCATGCGTTTTCATGTTAAATAAGCTGGGATGTGAGGGTAAACGTGCAGTAAAATTTCCTTCCTTTTCAAAACACATTTTTACTCTGTGTGAAACCTGTACAGATACGTCTCTAGAAGCTACCCCTGCTTAACACTTTATTTTTTTCAGCTGTAACAAACTACCTACATGCTAATTATGAAGCCATAAAGATGCTATATAAGCTAACTGAGCTAGCTCTTCCTTGGCCATTAAGCTAAAATAAGCCACATCAATAAAAAAGAAGTATTTATAGTGATATTCATACTGCAGTAGTGGAAATGATATCCAACTAAAACACTGATAAGTTAGCAAACTGGAATAATTAATTTCACTTATTATAAAATATAAATATTCCAACACTTTAAAATTCTAATATCCACCTTGTAAAGATTTGCGCACTTTGTCAAACGTTTTTCAGCTGTGTTAAGTGCTTGAAACATTCAAGAGACGATGCTGAGATGGAATGCAAATCCTCATGCCCTTTTTTTTATTCCTTAATGGAATTTAAAGATGTCAGGGTTTCTAAGTTGTGTCATGAGATACAGTTTAACACAGAAGATGATCCAAGTCAACTGAATGACAAGATGTTCACATACCATCTGTAAATGTAATAGGCCTTCAATGAACAGTTCAACCAATGAGAAACAAAGCCCGGCTCTATAGGTATTTAGATGCTTGTATTGAATCATGACTGAGATGGAAACACCTTCACGGTCCCTTTACGTGCTCAGCAGTAGATATTTCACAAGATAACCAGAAACTGTGGTTTTAGCAGTAAATGTCTTCAGGTAGATTTTTACCAAAGAAGTCTTTAGTCAAAGTCTTTTTATGTGGTTTCTGAACTATGAAGACACACTGCTCACATCCCACCATGAGACCCATTTTCTCCTCCAGCACAACCACAAAGTGTTGAACATGCAGATAGTCTTGTATGGGCACACAAAGTTTCCACTTCCTTTGAAAAAAGTTTTTAATCCTCTTCTGCAGAGAACACAGTCTGTGAAGCAGCAGCAGCAAGATTTTTTTTTCTTCTTCTCCCTCAACACCACAGGGGCATTGTGTCTTCTTTGGAATAAACTTCTTATCTAATGAGGATGAAATGCTCCTGGAGCTCTGCTCCCCTGGCTTTGATGGAGCCACAGGTCACGATGAACCCTTCTCCTCCTGTCAGATCCCATATCTCAGATCCGTCTCATCTCTGAAGCGCCGGGCACTCTGCCCATGTGAAAGTGGAAAGAACTGATGGCAAGATGGTGCGGGTGAGGGTCAGGCCAGGGAGAGCGGCTGGCTCGGACGAGGCGGGGAGGTCAGATGTGATCCTCCATGGGGAAAACCAGGCGTGTGCCTCGGCTCAGCAGCTCCTGCTCGCGGGAATCCAGCTCCCGCTCCAGGGCCTCCTCTGACGTGCTGCCACTCCTCTTTCCATTTGTGCTCCAGCCCAACCCCCCGGTGGCATCCGCCCTGCTGGTGGACGCCCCGTTGGCGGTGATGGCGGTGTCGCCAAATGTGAAGGTCAGGTCGGCGTCGTTGTGGATCAAGTCAGTGTCGGGATCCCTTAACTGCTCGTGGTTCTGAAATCAGAACACAGAGTGAAACATGAGGTGTGAACAGATGAATGGACATCAACAGTATAAATACTCAGGAGGGAACCTGGATTACAGCCATCTGAGAGGAGCTTTCATTTCAGATTAGCTTTATCTTGGTAAATACACACCACTGCAAAAAGAAAAAAAGAAGGAAACAAAATAAAACCCTATTTTACAAACCAACAAAAAGGCAGAAGCCAAGTCTTTATAAATCAATAGAGCGATAGATAGATAGAGACATAGTTAGCTATAGATAGAGATATGTTAGTTAGCTAAAGACATATTAGTTAGCTAAGCTACGTCATTTAGCTACTAGAGATATGTCAGTTAGCCAGTTGGCTAACTAGAGATATGTTAGTTAATTAACAATATGTTAATCAGCTTGAGATAGCTAGAGATGTTAGTTAACTAGAGATAGAGAGGGTTTTTTCAGATGAGTTGAATTAGGAGACTAGGTGAGAGGGACTTTCATTTGGTAGCCACTACAGCAGCAACTAGTGAGGTAAGATAAAAACAGGAAACCACAGGCCACCTTGAATCACACATATGCCCAGTGCAACAGGCACAGAGATGACTCACAAATGCCCCAGATCCAAAAGAAAACACATGTTGCGTTCTGATTAAACGACAAACAGCTGAACAACCCGGACTGATCGGGAAGCTGGAATCCAATAGCCACCCCATGTCCACCGGGGGTGGAAAGGAGTCAATGCCAGGTCAATGAAAGGATTTTTCAGCTCACTGGATACAACAACAACAACAAAATTACATAACTGTGTGTTACTGGGAAACTATTTTTAAGGGGAAAGAAGAAGCATTTGGAAATGAATCCACTGAAATCGGTTGTGCTCTTAAATAGTTTAACAGGAGCTTCCTCCAAATTAAAGTAGAAACACACAGCCTTCCCTGATCGCGCACACACCCCTCCTGCTGCTGCAGCAGTCACGTGAGCACAAAGAGCATTAACATCTGGCCCAAAACAAGCCCAAACAAATCCTGAATTTAGTCCCGTTTGAGCAGTAAATGTCAAAGTAGCTGGGGCAGTTTTTTTTTTAGAACAGGAAACTGTAAATTTTGTGGCCCAGTTGTAAAGATTAAGGTCTGAATTCAGGTCGTCACAGTGGGGGGCGGGGGGGATTGTTAAAAGGCAGACTGATAGATTTTCAATTTGTTCCCCTCTGTCAGCTTGTAATTTCAACTTCTAAGAATAAAATACGAGAGAAAAAAAAAGCTTAAGCCAGCTATAGAGGCATAATGAACTGCAGCAACATTTTAAGGCCTTGTATCAGTTTCAGTAGAGAGGCATTTCGTAATATCCATAATTAAAGAGGAACTAGGCACTGAGCTTTATTTAATCCGGGCTCTCCCCATGTGGCTGGCTACACTGGCAGCCCAATACGTCCAGACTGGACGTGGCATGGCTGCAGCTTTCTGACCGCAGGGAGAAAACATCTTCATCTACATCACTTACAGCTGAAAATTACAGAAATCAAATACAAATACAATCCACTTTTATGTGCAGGAATCCAGTTTGGAACCGATTGTTTTCAGTGGGAGGGGAAAAAAAAAAAAATCCCCCGCATGTTTCTTGGAAGAGAGAATAAAAAGGAGCCCTGATGAAAGTGAAGCGAGTGTGACAGAGGCTTCAATGGGCATTTCTGTGTTTTAAATATCAGAGGGCAGTGTCTGTCAGAACACTGGTCATCTTTGAGCCGGAGCTGAAAAGCGTCTTTTGTGCCAACACAATGCAGACCCCCCTCATCCCTCCGTTTTAAAATGCTGCCTGCCGAAGGCCTCGGCTCTGTGTGGTGGATACTCAGAAAGGAAGAAACCAGTTTAAGCTTCAGGGACAGTCTCGGCTCTGAGGACAGTTTGTCGCACCGATTTGGCTGTTTGATTTTTTTATAAACCTACAGCACCAGTATAACCCTAGATTGATAATAAAAAAAAAAGAAATAAAATCACATTTAAGGATCTGAACTTTATTACATTCTTTAAAGCTGAAAAACAAATGCTTTTAAAAAGGTTCTTTATCGTTGTATATCTTTCAGTTTACCACAGATTAAATATACCTTTATGGAAATCTGTGGCTGCTTCTGCTCATGCATGCTGTGAAAAAGCATTTCAGCTTTTTTTTTTATCCCCACCTCACTTATAGGCAAAGATGACCAAGTGAATACAAAATGCAGTTTTCACATCATTTCATTTATCATGTGACAAAAAAATGAAACCACGTGATTCCTTTCTTTTTTCTTTTTTCTTTTTTTTTGAGGCAAACAATAAAAAAATGCTGTCCCCTCTAAGCTGGCTGCATGTGAAAAAGTATTTGCCCCTTTTTAAAGGGAGCAGAAATTAAATCACAATTCTCATAAATGCTAGAATCAAGAAATCCCTCAATTTTCTAAAAATAAATAAATAAATAAATAAAATATAGTGTTTTTGTCCCTGAGTTTTACGTTGTGTCTTCCATTTACAGCAAAATGTGTTTTTCTATCCTGGTGTAAAAACTATTAGCAGCAGAAGGGAAGAGTTTGTCAGGTCAGGAGGAATCTGTTCTCTTCCTTTTATTTTCATGACTCTCACCAACTTTTCCTACATAGAAGATCTTTGAGGAAAAGCGAAAGTGCTCACTCTCTTTTCTTCTCTGTTGCCAATGAACAACTACACATCCAATCAACACATACCTGTTAAAAATGCCTTTTTAGATAATTTTTTTTTTTAAATCCTTAGATGTTTGTAAATAATGACACTCTCTCCATATTCCAGCTGTGCCTGAAGGCTCTTTTAGTGTCGGAAAAGTGTTTCAGAATCATTTACCATTTAAACAGCAGATTAAATGGTGAGTAATTGGAGTTTAATAACTTGGGATTTTTAATTAAGTTCATTTTTAATTTCTTACCCTCAAATAAAGTATTTATCTTTCAAGTACTACACAGAAAGTCTACCAGCTTCACATTGTACATGTTCTACAAACCACATATTTATACACATTAGTGCAACAATAAGGGGGGCAAAACATATGTGCATATTTTTGTCAAATGTAGATTTTAAGCTTATATATCATAAATGAAAACAAACTTTTTTTTTTTTACAAATACTCACTTCATATGCCCGTGGACTGGTAAGGCAGCTCGCCAGTGGGCCACAGTAACTGGGCAGAGTGGAGGTCAGAGGTGGACCGCTGTGTGTCAAAATGGGCTTAAGGTAACTGGGAAGTAATTAAGGGAAATCAAGAGAAAACATTCAAACTTAGTAAGAGGCATACATTGCAAATCTGAAAATAATAATAATAATAAAAAATCTCAATAAAAAAGTTGAAGTTAAACTTGAAACACAAAAGTTATAGAAGGTTTTAGTGAAACTTTACAACAGAAATGTAATATTTTAGAGGGATGTGTGCTGGTGAGATCGTTTTGGTGTTTTTACACCTGATCCGGATTCTTCAATCTGCGGAGAACAAATAAATTTTTTTATACGCTGCAAAAACACAACGTCTTACCAAGTATTTTTGGTCTTATTTCGAGTGCAAGTATCTTGGTAAACTCGAAATAAGAGAAAACTGACTGAATATCTTTTGAGCATGATATGGGAGCTTGTTTTAAGACAATAATTCCCTAATATATTGATTAAAAAAGTACCAGTTCCACTGGTAGATTATTTCACTTATAACAAGACATTTCTCCCATGTTAGGTGGAATAATCTGTCAGTGGGCTGGTACTTTTTAAATAATTTTTAAAGAATTATCAACACAAAAACAGCTTCTAAATAACTTACTTGCAAGTTAGTTTTGTCTCATTTTAAATTATTTGCACTAGAAACTAGACCGAAACGGCTCGGTGAGTTTATGTGATTTTGCAGTGAAGGACTCGGCTTAACCAGGCTAAGCTGCTTTGGAAAACTAAGTGGCGCGTTCAAATGGTGGCGGGTGGCGACTGGAATCTGCTGGTCCCATGCACCATGTTTGGATATTTACACACGCGGTCGGTTGCACTCAGGAGAAACAACCTGATGTATATCAAATGGTCTGCTGCTTTTCTTTGGCTCCAAATAGCGTGCGACACCAGGGGGGTGCGGGGGGGGGGGGGGGGTTTTTCCCTTTTGGAAAAACCCGCCCCCCCTTTTAAAAAAAAAAAAA